GTTATTCGACGTTCTTTATCCTCAGATTCAGTATAATAGAATACTCTGTAGACGAATTCCAGGTCATTCTTCTTTTCCATGGGGCTGTTAAGTGATGACGTCACAGTTCCTTCGATACGCATAACAACGATCCCACTGGGGACAAACAAAAGTAGCGTCGTCTCCACCGAACCAGTTGTCAGTGGCAACATATAGGAATCGTGTACATTTCTTCGTTTCTTCTTTGCTGTTTTCAGTGAGTGTTTTGTTTTCTCTTTGTCCTTGATCTCGACGATGTTGTCGTGCTCATTACCTTACTGAGACGTCTCTTGTGACTGTAGCCAGTGTCACGGAGGATTTTATTGGCGTGACAAGGTAGATCGCCGAGATCGAGCGTGAAAAACGCTCTGCATTAGTAGCTCCTGTAGAATGTTTTCTGGGATGGCGTATCCATGGTCAACAAAACCAAGGTGCAAGACAACATGAGAGATCGTGTAAACGATGTGAACTCCAAAAGGTAAGCTCCTGAACATGTGGAAAGATATAGGTATTTACAAACTCTCCCTTCATCCATCGATTGCCGCTATGCATTGCATTTTGTCTTCACAGATAATCTGGCCAAATTTATTGTAACTAGAGAGTGCAATCGTGCTTGGGGCCCATCCCAATGTCATCACATGGCTGTGGTGACTAGTGTATATCTGGGAGAATTTTTCCTCGACTGATACGGAGTGCAGGTGGATCGATTATGAGAAATGCGAACATGTGAAGTAAGTAATTAGTTGTGTCGAAGAAATGTGCAATAAAATAAAATTTACTTTTAATACACTCAAACATACACTGTAGATGTACATGTAACATCATGATAATGATTCCATCTTCATTGTCCCGCAACTGGTACACCATACGCACCGAATACATGGTGTGTGTGTGTGTGCGCGCGCTTGCGCGCGCGCATGTACATGCACACACTCTCATGCGTGGCCGAGTCGGCCAGATGAACAGACCATGCATTTGCACGAGGTGTCCGTAATGTCATTGGAACGCTGTACTTTATTACTTTATTCCAAAAGAGTATGTCTTGCCCCTGACGAATGGAGTTGTGTCTGTGCTCAGCAGGTATCGGGCTATGACGCAACACTGCAATTAAAAGAGCACTGCATGGATTATTTTGACTAACTTCCTTTGCGTTTACTTGGTTGAGCCCGTGGTTTCATGTCTGTGTTCTGTCATGATTGGCCTCTGGAAATAATCAGAGTGGATGTCATTTTGCCATATATGTGTGCCTTGTGCGACAGGTTCAAGGCTAGATGCACTTCACATCCGGCGTGCGATCTCAGCGTCTGGGACCTGATGAAGTCTTGGTTGGATGATTATTCAAGCCTGATACTACTCGACACACCAATGTACATGTCAATGTAATTTTTTCAGAGCTGCACTATTTACGTGTTGATGCTTACTTCGGTGTTAGCGTGTTTCCCCCGGATTGTTTCTATCATCATGATCGTGTGTTCTTGGGCTGAGCGAGCACATGCACAAGTGTGCAGCTATAACCCTGTGTATCTTTGGTTACACTTTGTTCTGCAATGCATGTACCTTGTAACATTATGTGCTTGCACTGCTTTGTCTGGCCTGCGTATTTCGGGACTATTCAGTGCATTAGACCCAGGTTTGTTTGGTTGCCGGATGATCTCTTGTTGCGTCGCTCTGTATTTGTATTCATCAATTTTTGGGCTTGAGAATTGAGCTGTTGTGTGGTTCCCAATATGAAAACATCATGCTGGTGCTCTGTGTTTCGATTATCGACTGCCGGAGCAGTCATGCATTTATTAGCAGAACGGTCAATACTGTAGTCTTTTCACATGTTTGTCTTTTTTTGTGTTTTCGCGGGGTATTAGCGGTAACGCTGCACACAGAACGGCAGTGTTGCATCACTGGACGACCCTGCCTCTGCATCTGACTTAATTTCCCCAGGATCTGGTGCAGTTACACCAGACAGCCACTTCCTGTAAACACGCAAACAGCAAAAAGAAGAGATCCCGCAAATCAGGAAAAACCATTGTGGAAAATATAGAGTAGATCATACAACATTCAATAATCTGGAGTAATTACAGTGAGACAAACACTTCAAATAGTGCTCTCTCTCTCTCTCTCTCTCTCTCTCTGTCTCCATCCTTCCAAAAATACCCTATGACAATTCCATAGAATTATTTTATTTTATATTCTTAGGACATCATTCTGAACATAATAAATTCTTCCATGGCCTGTCTTCAATCACCACGGAGGGCGAACATATATCTACAGTAAGTCATGCAGTTTACGGGAGGTGCGAGCTGTCATGGATATAGAGGCTGATATTGTGCCAACGTGAGGGCAGAGACAGAAAGAAGACACTGATTTCTTGAACAACTCACCTATATATAATCGAATCCACAAGGAGCGCTCATACTTTGATCCATCAGGACGCGAAACACGGAGTTTTACTGTGGGCAGCCAATTTCACAGCCATCATGAAGGCACTCGACGACTACAGGAGTTTTGTAGAGGAAAGAACAAGGAGTAAAGAGCGACAACAATCGCTTGAAGAAAAAGCAAAGAAAAACTGCTGTCTCTCCAGTCATTTAGATGCTGTTGCCCTTGACATCTGGTTCCATCCAGAGGACGCGACTTTTGTTTGTCCCCAGTGCTCTCCGTTGCTATGCGTATCGAAGGAGCCGTGACGTCACACTTAACAGCCCCATTGTGTACTGTTCCTCGTCAGTGTGCCGTTCTGTGTGGAGTGTACACGCGCATGTGGTGTCCGTTGTGTCTGTTTATGTATGGTCCGTGCGCTGGAGTACTGCCGCCGTACAAGTTCACTGCCTTTCAGGCAGTGAACATGTACGGTGGCAATGCCCTAGCGTACGTACCGTGCACCGGGATTTATCTTTACTTATAAAAGAGAGGCACCTGTGACGTGTGTCTGTGTGTGTGTCACGCTCCTTATAAAGAAGAGGCACCTGTGAGGCTGTGATGGGTGTTTTTGTGTCACGCTGCCCTGAGCACGCGAAGGGTGCGAACAGTGTAGCACAGTGTAGCTAGCGGCCGCAGAAGCACTGAGCACGCGAAGCGTGCGAATCGTGTAGCTAGCGGAAGCAGCCTAGCCACAGAAGCACTGAGCACGCGAAGCGTTCGAATCGTGTAGCCACCACCACGTGCTGAGCACGCGAAGCGTGCGAACAGTGTAGGTACGCGTATACGGTACGGTGGTAGCGCTTATACACGATCAGTAGATCTCTACGAGTAGCATGCAGTAGCCAGGTACAGTACTAGGTAGCAGCCGCGCGCGCGCGCAGAAGCACTGAGCACGCGAAGCGTGCGAATCATGTAGCCACCTAGCCTAGGCCATAGCCTAGGCATAGGTAGCACTAGCAGCCGCACAAGCGCTGCGGACCACGTGAACCGTTCTCTGCAAATAGAAACATCTGGAACAAAAGGATACAAAAGATCTGCACTGACTGCACTCTGCATCTGATCTGCAGTGAAGAGCGCATCGCACTTTTGTTCGTAAGTTAGTTTATGAATTTTTTGAGCCGCTTCATCCGCCACCAGGTGATGGACAACCCTGACCAGCCTCCCGAAGGCGTAACAGACGTCCCTCCTTCTCCTTCCAACGATGAAGAACCTCCCTCACCAGGACTTCAGCGGTCTGGCCACCACCACGTGCTGAGCACGTGTGCTGTTCATGTACTTCACCCGCATGCCACATTCGGCCAGGCAACGCTGGCGGGGGTGCTGCTAGTATTCTATAATAAATCCCGCGCGGGATTTATACTGGCCAATATAACCATGGCTAGACGAGCGCTGATTGGCTGAAAACAGGCCCTCCGTACCGTACCATGGTATAAAAATAATTGAAGCAGGCAGTTTAGGCTCCCAAAAGTACAGTCGTTCCTCTCTAATCCAGCACTTTATAAACCAGCACCCTCGATAAACCAGCACAATTTTCAGTAGCCAAATGTCCTCTTCATGCACATTGCAGCAGTAAATCAGATTTGTTAATCCAGCACCCTTCCTAATCCAGCAGATTTCCGTGGCACAAATGCTGCCGGACCACTGTAATAGTCCTTATGCACATTGTACAGATGTACGAAGTTCTGTACTATGGCCGTAGGTGTGTACATACCCGGTTGGGTGTTCATTGTGTGCTATACATGCGCGTTTGACCCATTTAGCCTCACAATTCATGGCAAACGATCACTTTTCAAGCCTTCTTCACTTTGGGATTGAACTAACGACTGGCTAGATCTCTGATGGAAAAAGATTTCGTATGAAATGCCTTCATGGCCCATTTCATAGTGGAAATAGCAGTAAACACAATAGGGTCCTGCACATTCAACACCCAATCGGGTCTACGGGATTCTACAAGATTATACGGGATTTCGTGCATCTGTACAATGTGCATAAGGCCTATTAGCCCACACTTTCTTTCCAAGTGTTTTATTGTTGCTATGCTGTGACGTACATGTAGCACTTTCAAGCCCTATCGATTATCATGATTATATCAGGGCTTGGAAGTGCTACGTCACAGCACAGCAACAATTTCAAAAATTCAAAAACTGGATCATCAGGGCCACTTGGATCCAGTTTTTGTATGGATCCAAGCACATTTCAAGCGGTCTTACTCACAGCAAGGTGATGTAGCCAGTGAAACTGACTGATTTGGCTAATAGGGGCGGGGTGACACCCGGTGGCGAAGTAAAAGTCACACATGCATACGACATGAGTGGGTTGCTATGCACCCACATACTGAGGCAATAGCAAAGTCACACCTCAGTGGATCCAAAATAGAAATCTGATGTCAACTTACTACTCCCTGGCCGTTTTTGACGTCATCAATTTCAAGCCCTATTACTGCCGGAGTAGTAATAATACTGAATTCTAATACATGTAGTTACTGCTCAAGTCAAGAGCAGCCTTCCCATCAAGATATTGCTTGCACTGACTGTACACACACCAGGCACGCATATGCGCATGCAGGCTGCAGCATGGGCGCTAACCGCATGACATCATCATGACATCATCATGACACATCATCAGCATCATGATGAATGTTCCTATCACATGATGAAAACATCAACATGTTACGTAATGTGACATTGTACTTTATATAACCCGCTCCGTGATCAAGGAAATCCTATGAATTTTTGAAAACTGTGACCCGCATTACAGCCTCAGTAATGGCTGAGTCTGTCCAAAGATTGAGTGACACGCGGACGTCTCCGTGAGGAAAGTTGTGCAGCCAGAAAATCAGGCCCAAGGCCTTTGGGGATTGGGGATTGCCCTATTCAAAAATTAATAATAATACTGCGGCTAATACCGGCTGGCTTTGGAACGTATTTTCATTGCTATCAGGTTCGGCCTAATTTTCTCTGTGCTGCGCTGAGGAGTTCACAAAGAACGAAACAGCATGCTGTCTGCAGATTGAGTAATAATAATACTGATAATTTATACAAAAGAAAATGGAAGAAAATGGACCAAGGAACTACAAATTACGCTACAATGTCCACTAACATTAACACTAGCAGTTACTAAAAAATTTAACAATATAAAATTATAAATAATCCTTGCCTCTCTATCCGAGTCCAATGCTGATAATAATCATGTATACACTGAGCATTGTGTTGAAATCAATACACCGTCCCACCGCCAGAGACATCCGAGTCCCTGGTTACCATTCAGTAACGTGAGCTTGCACAATCAGGATTTCTCCTCATCCAGACCGTCAACCCACTGCCATAACCAGCTACTAGTCTACTATTGATGACATCAGTGGTTATCCGTGATGAACGGCATCATTGGCTGTTATTGATGACATCATCCCAGTTGCTATCGAGTGCTTGTGGATGATGTCCGTGCGGTGTGGTGGTGATGTGATTCAATAACAATGACATAGAAGCCGGAACCGAGGACAGCACCAATGGTACAAGCAAAGACCGGCACCCAGAACCAGTATGGGCCATACCTGTGCATATATGCATGCATACACACACGTCAGACCTCAGACCTGCCCATCGCGGAAGCGATGATAGCGAACAGCTACATGTATGTTAGCAACTTGTGCTGGGATTACACCATGTAACAGCTTGCAAGGCTGATGAATTGACTGCCACTTATTTTAGCCTGGTCTACACCACACGGCTGATTGAAGCAGTTTTTTTTCTGGCCAATGAATCCCTGTTTCTCATGTTTCATTTTTTCATTCTTTATTCATTTTTACACACACACACATACGTGCGCACGCACGCACGCACACACACACACACACACACACACACACACACACACACACACACACACACACACACACACACATACGCACACACACACACACACACACACACACACACACACACACACACACACACACACACACACACACACATACGCACACACACACACACACACACACACACACACACACACGCACACACACACACACCCGCGCATGCACGCATGCACACACGCACACACACACACACACACACGCACATGTACACACACACACACATACGCACACACACACACACACACACACACACACACACACACACACACCCGCGCATGCACGCATGCACACACGCACACACACACACACACACGCACATGCACACACACACACATACACACACACACATACACACACATACACACACACACATCAATACGTCAATATACAATCTACCCGCATGCCTATATACATGTACCAGTCGGTGTACCTCTGGCAAACCCTTCACACATGGCATAGCAACAGGAGGGTAAACCGCAGCTTTTGGCCATTTTACGATGAAAAAAGGGGGATCTTGGACTGAATAAGCAGGGGCGGCCGAACTCGTACGGTTGGTTAGGCTATGGCCGGACCAGCTGCTTGGCAACCAACGTGCGTTTACGCCTGGTGAGGTCATGTGTCAGTGCCTTGGCATAAACAAGGTACGAAAGACCATGGTATGGACGGACCGATGAAAAACTGCTTCGCCGTTCCTCTTACCGTATGCCACCGCCTTTAACGCCATGGCCTTATATTCGAAACACCGCTGCTTTACTAGCTATTTTAGATGGAAAATGACTCACCCACTACACCATGCCATAAAAGTCAAAGTCCACAGAGAGATTTCAATCCATATCCACTTGTTCACCCTTCCTGCTGGGTTGTAAGTTAGCATAGTACTTATTCCTTCATTTTTTACAAAACATACTTCAAATAACCGCAATCAGTTGTTGTCTCCTCGCCGTTTGTTCAAATACTTCAAATATCATTTCATTTATGAGGCCAGTGGAATTATATCTGAGACTGGCTTTATAATTGAACACAGTACACTGTAAAATATGTAATTCTTGGTGTAACTTTACTTTCGGTGATTTCGGTAGAGAAACCAGGCACCTAAATTTAAATTACAACTAGAAAGCACTAGAGTATGCAGTGTAGGTGCAGGAAACGCTGGTCACCTAATTCGAAAGTACACCTGAAACCTGGCAGGTCCCTGGCACCGAAATTTTAATGCACCTAAAATTACATGTTTTACAGCAGCTCCATGGCTTTAAAGGTGCGGACATACGGTAAAAGCATAGTGACACTCACGTGAAAACGTCCTTTCCCCAGCCGGCGATTGCGGTGAATATCCTGGGCGCGAGGTCTCTGGCTGGATTTATAGCGTAGCCTGTGTTGTAACCGAACGATGCGCCTATGGCAACCACCGTGGCACCAATGGCCAGTGGCTTGGCATAGTCCGGTGGGGCCCAGTTCCGTTCGTCGGTTATTGCAAACACGCTCAGCGCCAGAAGTCCTGTGCCGACTACCTAAGGAGGTGAACACAATACGCACATTGCGCAATGACGTGATTGGTACCGCCAACATCCCACACACAGCTACCTGGGCATGGTTGTCTGCAGGGTGTTGGACAGTGCATTGCTGATCCCAGCGTACTCACATAACGCCCCACACAGCCACCTGGGCATGGTTGTGTGCAGGGTGTTGAACAGTGCATTGCTGATCCCAGCGTACTCACATAACGCCCCACACAGCCACCTGGGCATGGTTGTGTGCAGGGTGTTGAACAGTGCATTGCTGATCCCAGCGTACTCACATAACACCCCACACAGCCACCTGGGCATGGTCGTGTGGGATGTTGAACAGTGCATTGCTGATCCCAGCGTACTCACATAACGCCCCACACAGTCACCGGGGCATGGTTGTGTGTAGGGTGTTGAACAGTGCATTGCTGATCCCAGCGTACTTGCATGCAATACTCACACCTTCCATATTTGGCAATGTGCAATGGGTCTATACATGTACAGTGGAGAGTGGATATAACGACACTCCTTCGGGAGAAAACAAAATGTCGCTATAATTATACGATCTGTCACTAAACCAGATCTTCACATTAGCATGCAATATGTATATCAAAATGGCAGAAATGTATTGCAGATGTGCATGTGCATAATATACATGTAAATGATTTTAGATAAACCTTGTGTTGTAGAGACACGCTTCAGTTTAGTTTGACAGCATATTACACGTACAACACGGCGTTCCACCACCTTGTAATATGCTGTCAAACTAAAAGCATGTACAAGTACATGATCGTACAGGCTATGCGCAGTCGAGTCATCGTGTATACATTGGTATGCTGTGCTTGATGAAATTCCAGCCTGGTCGTTCTTTGGCGCTCCGTTCTTTGGCGCCCCGTTCTTTGGCGCCCCGTTCTTTGGCGCCCCGTTCTTTGGCGCCCCGTTCTTCGGCGCCCCGTTCTTCGGCGCCCCGTTCTTCGGCGCCCCGTTCTTCGGCGCCCCGTTCTTCGGCGCCCCGTTCTTCGGCGCCCCGTTCTTCGGCGCCCCGTTCTTCGGCGCCCCGTTCTTCGGCGCCCCGTTCTTCGGCGCCCCGTTCTTCGGCGCCCCGTTCTTCGGCGCCCCGTTCTTCGGCGCCCCGTTCCTCGGCGCCCCGTTCCTCGGCGCCCCGTTCCTCGGCGCCCCGTTCCTCGGCGCCCCGTTCCTCGGCGCCCTGTTCCTTGGCGCCCCGTTCCTTGGCGCCCCGTTCTTTGGCGCCCGTTCTTCGGCGCCCCGTTCTTCGGCGCCCCGTTCTTTGGCGCCCCGTTCTTTGGCGCCCCGTTCTTTGGCGCCCCGTTCTTCGGCGCCCCGTTCTTCGGCGCCCCGTTCTTCGGCGCCCCGTTCTTTGGCGCCCCGTTCTTCGGCGCCCCGTTCTTCGGCGCCCGGCAGTACTGTAAACACACCAGATATACACAGTGTAACTAACTTACCTGGTCCAGAAATCCAACGCCGACGGAGACAAACGGCTGGTTGTAAGTGGCCCAGATCTCTGCAGTCGCGTTTTGACCGCTCACGTCCCGATGAGACCCGCTGAAGTTCTCCAGTGCATCTAAACACACGCGGATCAAATACACACACACACACATACGCATGCACACATACATGTACGCATGCACACGCGCACACACACACACACACACACACACACACACACACACACACACACACCATGTACCATGTATGCGCCCGTCGCAAGAGAAGCACGCAAATCTGCAATGCACTGGATGTGCACCCACAGATTTTCTCTTATAGCAACGATAGCAGATCTGATTCTGATTGAAACAGATCAAGACAAGCGCCAGATAACTGTCTAATCCACACAACTGGCGAAGCCATGTGAATCGACTCCCCAATGCACACCTGGTCTACACCACACGGAGTACACACACACACACCCACCCTCACACACCCACACATGCACGCACACATTATTATTATTATTATTATTATTAACTTTTATTTTACTAGGGTGTTTCCCACAGACCTATGGTCTTCTTACGGGAGCCCCTAGGAAGGTTATGCATGAGCGAATAAATGAGCGGTAATCGGTACAAGTACGAACAGTGGAAGGCAGCATATTCCACCGGTCAGCAGCGAGATAGCCAATCCGAGAAAAGCCAGCCGTACTCTGTGCTGGGGGTAATGCCAAAGAAAAAGACACCTGGGATCTCGTAGTGGCAGTGGTGTGAGAGCTACAGCAGCGGCTGGTAAAGATTTCTTGAAGCAAAGAGCTGCATGTTCCGCTATGGATGCACCGGAACAAAAGAATGAACAATTTCAAATTGACGCGCACCGAAATATGATAAAGGCTGTAAAGGCTAAGAATGTGTGAAGCACTGGTAAACTTATCAAAACCAAATACTATTCTGAGGGATCTATTGAACAAACGGACATACTTATCATAGTTCATAGAACTTAGGGAATGGATATAAGCGCTGCTTGCATACTCCAAGGTTGACTGAATGACACTTAAATAGAAGGTACGCCGAGCATGGTATGGCAGAAGATGGCGGGATAAGCGGTACGCACCAAGTTTCCTGTTGACAGAGCCTACAAGGTTGTCTATTTGTGGGCCAAAAGTCAAGTTTTCGTCAAGTACAATACCCAAGTAGCGAGCAGACTGCGTGCGGGGAACATGGACACCATCAATGGTGACATAGGCAGACATCGGGACATCGGTGGTCTTGCGGTGGAGCAGTATGAACTTCGTTTTAGCCGGATGTGCACAAGGCTCCGGGGCCGGACAGAATACCCTCGATCCTGTTTAAGAATTGCCATGAAGTTCTAGCAGGCTCACATACACACACACACGCGCACACACACACACACGCGCGCGCACACACACACACGCGCGCGCACACACACACACGCGCGCGCGTGCACACACACACACATCACCACACACATCACCCCCCCCCCCCACACACACATCACCCCCCCCCCCCCACACACACACACATCACCCCCCCCCCCACACACACACGCACACGCTTACCATAGTAAACTGCAAAGCACAGAACTGAAGCAGTGAAGCTGCCGAGCATCTGCGACGCCACGTACACTGGCACCTGTCTCCATGGCAACCGACCATACACTGCCATGGCAACAGATATGGCCGGGTTCATATGTGCACCTGTATACATTGATCATCAAAACACATAACACAGCGTGTTTAGAGTAGGGGTGAAGCGAAGTAGTCGAAGGTTCGAACGACCTTCGTTTTCCTTGCAAACGAACCTTCGTTTTCAATTCAACTTAAAGGGGAAGTATACCCTAAAATCAAATTTTCACCAGTTGTAGTCTTCGGGGTGCTGAGTCGAATGGTCTTGGTCCGAGGAAGCTGAGGCGCTCCCTTCCTACTTGAATCCCAATCGAACTCGCGCACTTCCACCGAAACTGGGTGAATGCGCCCTACTAGATGGGGATTTGTATGCAAAATGTCACTAAAAGCGCCATTTCGTTCTTATAAAAGCACGGATGACCGCGATTGGCCCATATGTTGTAGTCTTTTGGACGCTGAGTCGACTGGTTTTGGTCCGAAAAGGCTGCGATGCAGCGTTCCTCCTTTATTCCCAATCGAACAGGGTTGAACAAGCGGTCACGTGCTCCTGCGTACACCAGTCACCTGGTCACCGTGCCTGCAGGGTACAACTTACTAGCCTGTTTGACCTTTTTTGGGTGCAGTCCTGTCACTCGAGTTGAACTCGAGTTGAACCTTGGTGTGAAAGTTGTCGCCTGCTGGCGCGGTGACCAGGTGATTTGGGCACCCAGGAGCACGTGACCGCTTGTTCAAC